AAATGCATGTAACTGGGGCCAAGAGGAACATAAAAAGGAATAATATATGCAGGAACTGGTAGAGAGGGACTGAGTGTTTGAAGAAAAAGAGTGACTTGTATAGTTTTGTATTTTAGAAAAATCATTCCAACAAGCAGGGAGGAAAGTAATCGTGAAAGGTGGTGGGGCTGGAGGCCACCAATTTGTTAGGAGATAATTTAAAGTGCAGAGATAATATGGATTTGAATTAAGGTGATGGCAGCATAGATTAGAAGAGAGGGTGAATTTAAGAAAGGTAGTAGAAGGCATTATTCCAGGACCCAGGATTTGACATTGCCTCTATCAGCCAGCCCCCTCACAGCCTCCCTAAAAAATAATAAGTTAGAATAAATAGCTATGCAAATACTACACAGAAATGGAAATAGAGAACACTCAGATTTGGAGTACTGAATGTGTCAAGTACCCTTCTAAGGAGTCTGTGCATTAACCTGCGGCAACCAGAGTCTGGACAAAGGTTTTAAAGTGCACGATCATGTAAGATGCTGCTAGAAAGGCCAGGACTAGATTGGAGCAAGGAGAAATCAGAGGCTGAGAAAGAAGATAGCACTGTGCTGTATTAAAAGTTAAAATTCTAATTTTCAGTTTTCATAAGTATAGATGGATAGTAGTTAAAAGGAGTATTTCTTTCTGTAGGAAATATTGTTTTTAAATATTGTATTGCCACCAATAATGATAGCTAACAATAGTTTAAAATGTAGCAGCACTGTTCTAAGTACCTTCCACTTAATCCTCAAATTATATTAATTCAGTTTATTATTGACTTTTTCTAAATTCAGAGAAGTTAACTAATTTGCCCAGGGTCAATTAGTTACTGGTAGTCAGAACTGGATTCCCAATAACGTGATGCCAAATCCTGAACTCAAAACATCTATATCACTAAAGCATATTTAGTATTCCAGATAGTCAGAAATTATGATTTTGTAGAGCGCACACAGGCCCTGGAACTAGACTTCCTAGGTTCAATTCCCATTCCATCATTTAACAGGTATGAGGAGTTAGACATGTTAATTCATCTCTCTGTACCTATTTCTCTTTTAATGGAAGTAATAATCATGTTTGCCTTCTACAGTAGTTCTGAGGATTAAACAAAAGAATGTAGTATAAGGGCTCATAATTGTGCATAAAACATTATATCCTTCCAATAAAATGCATCTATTATTACCAACATTTTAATTCTAATATAAAGTATTTAGAAGACTGGTAAGGAGTCCGGCACCACAGCTCACTTGGCTAATCCTTCACCTGTGGCGCCGGCACCCCAGGTTCTAGTCCTGGTTGGGGTGCCAGATTCTGTCCCGGACGCTCCTCTTCCAGTCCAGCTCTCTGTTGTGCCCCAATACGGCAGTGGAGGATGCACCTGCATGGGAGACCAGGAGGAAGCGCCTGGCTCCTGGCTTCATATCGGCGTAGCCACCATTTGGGGGGTGAACCAATGGAAAGGAAGACCTTTCTCTCTGTCCTTCTTCTCTCACTAACTCTGCCTGTCAAAAATAAATAAATAAATAAATAAGAAGACTAGTAAGGAGGCCAGTGTTATAGCACTGCTGGTTAAGCCAGTTCTTGGGACATCAGCATCCCACACTGGGGCAGCAGAAGACAGTCTAAACACTTGGGTCCCAGAAATCCATGTGAGAAGCCAGGATGTAATTCTTGGCTCTGGAGTTTAGCCTGGCCCAGCAGTGGCCTGCTGCTGTAGCCACTTGCATAGTGAACCAGAAAATTGAAGAGTTGTCTCTCTCTCTCTTTCTCCTTCTCTCCTTGTAACTCTGTCTTTGAAAGAGAGAAAGAGAGGGAGGGGGGAGAGGGAGGGGAAAGGAAAGGAAGAAAAAATCATAAGAGGAGAGAGAAGGGAGGAGAGAAGAGAAGAGAAGAAGGCTGTTAAGAAATGCTAAATAGTCTTCATGGCCCCAGTTGAGATCTGTGGTAGGCAAAATAAGGGCTCCTGAAGTCCTCCATGCCCTAGTCCCAGAGGTTGTAAGATGTTACCTTACTATGGAAAAAGGGACTTGACAAATGCAATTAGAGTTAAGGACCTTGAGACAATAAGGATCACCTAATGAAAGAGAATCTTAGAAGGCTGTAGAAAGCAAAGAATAGAAGGATGAAAGTTTTTAGTCACCCTTGTTGTTTGCTTTGCAGATGGAGGAAAGGGGTCTCAAGGAATGAGATTAGCTTCTAGAAGCTGGCAACAGCCCTGAGCTGAGGCCAGCAAGGAAACAAAGACCTCGATTCCACAACAGTAAAGGACAGAATGTGGTCACCAAACTGAATAAACAAAAACAGAAGATTCTTCCCTCCAGCCTCCAGAAAAGTATTTAGGCCTATGGACACTCTGATTTTAGTTAACTGAGAACTCTGTTTGTCTTCTGACCTGTAAGATAATAAAGTAGTGTTGTTCAGAGCTGCAAACTCTTTGGTAATTTGTTACAACAGCAGTAGTAAACTAACATAAGATCTATATTTAACTTTTCCCTAAAAGACTCAAATATATTGATCTAAGAACTATGTAATATGCTAAAATAAATTTAACTTCTTAAAGTCAGCAATTTTAAACTATGTTAGGGGCATAAATCAATGTCGTCTTTACATTTTTATTATTAGATTCCTTAGAACTTAAAAGTCACTAAAAGGCTAAGAGAGAGTATAAGATGCTATTATACAATTTTGCATCTTTTCTTTATATTTAAAGGGAAATAATTTTAATTTTCCTCTCTTGATTCTCATAGTTAATGCACTGGGTACATGCTGTATTTTTTTTTTAACTAACATTTCTTAGGCCCACAGCCAAATCCCAGTAAGATTCTTTCTTAGCATGTAAGAATATATACAGTTTAAGTTTAAAACAACTGACATGTTATATTTACAGAGGTAAAGCTTTTACAGAGATAAGGGCAAAGACATTTCACTGTCTCTGAAGTGATGCTCAATAGCTCCCAGAAAATAAGGGCCATGTCTGCCTTTTGCCTTGTTCACATTTTTCTTAAAGTGATCTAGCAATACTCCAGGCCTGTACTAGGCATTTGTTGAATAAGTGAATGAAAAATACATTTTTAATGCAAGTACAAAGTCTGGAAGCAATGCTTCTCTGAAACCACAGCTTACTAGTTTACTGAAAAACTAAAAAGGTACACTGTGTCTAAAAGTTAAATACTAAAACCCAGAACTTAAACATTTTCAACTGAAATCTTAAATGTTATACATGTTTCCCTGTGAGTTTATTAAACATTCAAATTTCCTGATCACTTAGGATCTTTGTTATGAGTATTATCAATAGATACTGTGTTATGCATGTGACAGGCCTAAGGCTCCATGAACTGGAACTGGCTTTCTAAAAATGTCCTTTATGTCAGTTTTTTTTTGGGGGGTGGGGGGATAGGGTCCTTTCTCCCTTCTTATAAAAGTTAAGTGAATCTATCGGCGAGGTGCACATGACTTCCTTCACAACTGCTGCAGGAAAGCTATGCATACTCTTCCTCAGAGATTTGTCTTCTCCAGAACAGCAGTATCCCCTAGGATGATGAGAACTACATATATAATCATAAATTTTCCAAAGCTTTCTCACTTCAACTTGTCATCAATAGAAAATGCATTATTTTACATTATTTTTTTAATACCACATCTTAGGGATCAGGGGCATGCTTTACACTGAAGATCTCAATTCCGACTAGCTTTATATAGCTAGTGGCCAATAATATTGAACAGCTGCAACTTTAGGACAATCTTTCCTCCTATCCTTAAGTGAACTTGAACTGTACACCCTATCAGTCTGTAGGTCATAATCTGATTTGAACTGTTGGTTCACAAGGTGGGAAGGCCTTCCACTAAACCAACAGTCTCCTCCTTCTGCCCATTTTTTTCTTCTAAGATCTCTATAATGTATAGAATGCAACCTTCCATGGAGAAATATTAAATCCTACACTTTTTAACCTAACAACAAATTTCAACAGTGGTAGAGTTCATTCGTAAATTTTCTTTTGCCCTGTATGTTTCCCACCCTGAGTTACAACCCTTCCAGGAGTAATTCCTAGACAACAAAAAAGCCTCTTTAACACTGGCGAGTGGGCTCTGGGATGCCTAACAGAAGAGCTGTTGTCAAGGGCTCCTTGAAGACCAATGGGCAGAGGGAGTGGAGCAAAGCACTAAAGCGTCCTTAAAACCTACTATGTGCAGGACTCTTAACAAGTGATTCCAACTCTTGGAACCAACCCACCAGACTTCAGACACACACACTTGCCATCCACACTGCGGAACAAGAAGCCAGTGGCGTGTCTCAACGCCAGCTCCACACAACTGCCTGGTGAGGGCTTTTTCCTGCGTCCAGGCCCAGAAACTCTGACTCGGCTCCCTAGGGTGTCACGACCTGGATGCCCGGGATTCGTAAGAGATACCCACCCCCACCCGGGGAAGGCGACTCGCTTCTGCGGCGGGAACGCTGCGCCCGAAGGCGTCCGGCAAGCTCCACAGGCTCTCGGGCGCCGCTTCTCAGGGCGGACTACCCGAGCTACCACACGCCTTCCGGAGCCCCCAGAGGCCGACAAGCTGCCCACCCGAAGGACACCGGCCCCGAGGGAGGGCAGTCTCCAGGGCCCGCACAACGCTCTCCCCCAGCCCGAGGGCTTCTGTGCCCACAATGCCACCGCCGAGCCCGTCCTCCTTCCTAGGCAACGGAGGAGCGGCGGAAGTGCGGAGTCGCCCCGCTGCCACCCGGCGGCGCCTGTTCGGCGGCCCGCCGCGGCGTCCGCTGGCGGGGAAAGCCCTGCTCTCGAGAGCCCTGGCTTCCCCTGCGGCCCCTTGACACAGCAGCCTCTTCACGCGCAGCACACGACCCCTGGCTGACCGGTTCGTGACTCTCCTGCCAATCAGAGACGGTTTTCCTCGAGCGTACAATAGACCAATCACTGAGCGCGCAGCTTCCTCTTCGGCTCTTCGGCTCTTCGGCCCTTCGGCTCTTCGGCCCTTCGGCTCTTCGGCTCTTCGGCTCCTGCAGTTGCAGGCCCGTCGGGCCTGGGCAGCGCGCAGAAGCGCGGTTCTCCTAACTGCAATTTCCCCATTTTTCTTTTAGCCACTTCCGGGTCCCGCATCACTCCGGAAGCCTCCGAGTTCCGGAAGCCTGGATAACCCAGATTCTGCTAGGAAAAGGCAAGTTTCCCAGAGAATGTTTCAGAACACTTGAGTTGCGGCGTGGGCGTTTCGCAGACTCCTAAGGTCAGTGTCTGCCCGCGAAAGCCATAGTGCGGACCTGAGGGCCTGCTCGCCTCTGGGAGGTTGCGCAGTTTCACGACCTTGTGCTTCTCGCTCCTTGCTTGATTTCCCAGGTTTTTTTTGGCTTTTCGTCTTCCGGGAAGACACAAGTCTATTAATTTTGGGAAAGACAATGAAGTGAATATAAACTACCAGAAATGTTTTTAGGATTGCTCCATTAAAAAAAAAAAAAAAAAACAAAAAAAAAAACGCACAACTAGAACTGAACCTCGTCTGCATTCCACGAAGTGACTTCGCGGTTCTTTCCCTTGCATTTGGTGATTGAAAGTAAATTACTTTTTAGGAACAACTTTAGAATCATTCAGATCCAAGCCTTCCTTAAAATCTGAAGTTTCATGTAAAATGCTATATTGGGTACCAGAAAAGAAATGAGCATGCATAAGTTTCCAACGTTTTGGGAGACCATTCACTTAAAAGCAGTTTAGGTGTCTTGTTCCTTTATTAGGGGAAGAAGTATTGAGAATTTGCTTGTAAAATACTTGTGTTGAATTGGGTGTATTTTGCACTGATTTATCAACCTGCGAATAAAAGAATCATTAGTATTTCTTTCTTCTAGGTCCTTAAAAGTTAAGCTTTATGTATTTATTTGGTTTTTACTTAGGTTCAATGTACAAACAACGCTTAGTGAAAGGGATTTTCATACAGTGAGACCCAGTTCTCACTGAACGTTTAAGTTGAAAATGTTTTGATATTCTGCTCTGCCATTACAAAAACATTTTTTGACAGTTTCAAGCAATTACAAGGAGACTGAGGCTTCTCTAACACCATAGTGTTTATATAGTCTAAAACCCTCCACAGATGTGTTGCTTTTAGTTAAACTTGAACAGAATGAACTTGAGGAACTGCTATGTTTTTAACCCCTTTATTCTCACCATATTATCAGTTACTTGTATCCAGAAAGATGAGAGTTACAAAATCTTGAACCAGAAAGAGTTTTGGAAAAAGAGACTAGTGGAACTATTTGCAAAGTCAAAAAGAGACGCTGTCATTTTTTTTTTTCCCCCAGAGAGACAGAGGTAACAGGAGGTATAATAGTAAACTAGGAGAATTGGGTCTGGTCCTGACTGGTTTGTTTGACCAACTTTGCCTCTTTAATTTATTATCCTAATTTTTAGAAATGAGAAATCTGTGGTTTTAAAATTGTTTCATGAAAGAATTTCTATGGAAACTATCAGGAGCCGTGCAGGGGACAGACAAAGCAAGCGGACTGTCAGCTGTTTTTAACAAGAACAGCTGTTTTTGCGTTCTGCTTGGATAACAGGGCTCCTGTTAAGAAGATTACATTCATATCTTAGTCTAGATGATCTACCTTTCCTTCAAGCTTTAAAATTCTATTTCATTTGTATTCAGTGTGCATTCACTTGATTATTACAGTTTTAAAAGTATATATACACAGTAATTTATAAAAATATGTCCATATTCAATCATATTTGTTTGATAAATATAAGCTCCAAATTTAATTATTTCTTTATAATCAAATTCTCAATTCTTGATTTTCTTCTCTCTTTCATACCCTTTTACTTTAGCCATGAAAATTTTACTTAAATATGGCACTGAAACTAATCCTTGCAAAAGAGATGACAGGTATTTTCCATTTTACATATTCAGTAGTTAAACTTTTAAAAGATGTTAGGGAACTTGCCTATCATCACATCTCTAGTCCTAGCAACCATGTCATTCTTACAACATCAAATAATTCTAAAGTTTCTTTCGTCCTGTACACAATTCATGTGTTCAGAGTGCTGTAGCACAAGGAAAATGTGTGCCATGTACATAATCTTTATATCTGAACAGAAGTTCTACTCTGAATCATTTCTGTTTTTCCTCTGTTGGTAATCGGGGTTGGACATCAAAGAAGCAAGTTGTATGTTCTCTTTATTGCTTTCTTGTAAAATGATAAAATCTTCTAAGTATTGCATGTCCTTCCATTCCTTTTGGAATATACAATAAGGCTTAGGAGAAAATACCCAAACTGCTCCATGTCTATGATGGAGTGACATGAGATGGCTAGATCAAGATATCATCCAGTGGCTGGGTTCATGCTCTTGTGTCTGCCATGAGAGAATTTGAGGATGAGACATAGGTGAAGTTAGCAGAGGAATACTTTATTTGAATGCAAAGTGAAGTACACCCCTGAGAGGGAGTGTAGTCATGCTCTGTATGGTTCAAGGACATCCCTTTGTTTGATCTGGAGGCCTGGGTGGTGGAATTTGGGGAGGGGCTTGAAAGCTACCCATTTCCTTGACCTTTTTGGGAAATCTCAGAAGTGTCTGGGTCCCTGATGGGAGTAGCAGTGTCAACTGTGTTAATTTGAATATTATAATTAGCTGAAGGTCATTGTGTGAATGCAGTTGGCTGCCCCCATTGCAGGTGATGACTTTTCGGCTGTCAGTTGTGGATGCTGTGTACTGCCTTTCTCCATTGCATAAAAGGGGCATGGTGGTTTGGTGAAGCAGGTTCAGCTGCAGGGCTGGGGTGGGGAGAGGGGGTTGTTTGAGCTCTCAGCTCCTCCTGGCTAGTTGTCTCCTTGCCCACATTATGGGCACTGCCCTTTGAAATCCAGCCCCATTGTTTCTATACATAAAAGTGAAGACAAGGGAGGAGGATGTCTGACATCCTCTAGCCTTCCCCTTGTGGACTGTTAATCTTTTTCTCCCCAACATATCCTCAGTTAGGGAATCAAAACCCAGAGCTCACTCTTCTTACTTATCTGTCAATAAGATGCGACAAAATTCCATCCAAGTTGTCATTTCTTTTTTTATTATTGTTAAAACACAAAAACCAATAACTAGTACAATGCAGTTTTGATCCTACCTAACTGTGCCCAGTGGCTCCTGGATGAGCTGGCATTGCCTCTTTCGTTACCTATGGGTGTACTTCAGAAAGTGCTAGAAAAAAAAAATATTTGCTATAAATAAAAAAGCATGGTTTTTCAAAATTTTTTGCACCCAGGTAGATTCATCTTTTTAAAGTTTGTTTAAGATTTATTTATGTGAAAGGCAGAGTGATGCATTAGGGTGAAGATCTTAGATCTGCTGGTTCACTCCACAAATGCCTGTGATAACTGGGGCAGGCTGAAACCAGAAGCCAGGTACTCCATCCTGGTCTCCCACATAGGTGGCAGGGGCCCAGATACTTGGGCTATCATCTGCTGTTTCCCAGGGCACACATTAGCCTGAAGTTGGAAGAGAAGCAGCCTCAGGACTTGATTCCAGATACTACAGTATGGCTGTGGACTCCCCAAGCAGTGGTCTAACCTACTGCCACAACGCCCTTCCCTGTAGCTATTAACTTTCTGAAATAGCTTTACACAGTTATAGTAAAATGAATGTTCAAGCCTCATTTTTCACCTCACATATTCGCTCTGTTCAGATTTGACATTTAATCTCTTTGAATGGTCCTTTACATATATAGAGGCGGGGAGGGGGGTGTAAATAAGACATATCTCATGCAGCCTGGGCTACTCTACCACATTCCTTTAATTTCTTCTCCCATCTACAGTTTTGAGAGCTTGACTAGTAGTTTTGTCTTATGAATGATCTTAATGGAGAAAGTTTTTTTTTTTCTGAGTTCTATGGGATTACATTTGATCCAAGTTTACTAAGTAGTCATTCTACTAACTTTTTTTCCATGTGTTCCACAATTTTTCTAGTGTTTACTAGAAATTTAATGATTGCCAACCTTACCTTAGGTAGGCTGTTAAACTTCTCAAGCCTTAATTTTTGGCTTCTTAAAATGGAGATGATAGTACCATCTTACAAGGATTTAATAGTATAAAGAAATTATATACTGCCTTCAACATAACGTGTATGACATAGGAGTTGCTCCTACTTCATTTTTAATATATATTTGTTCCTTTGGGGATCTTTCCTCATTCCTGTGCCATAAAAGTTTCAGATAAATATGTGATCCAATAATTATCAAGTCATTTAGAATTCTCTTATATAATTTGATTCTAAGGCCCATTACTAAATCTGTAGAGTATTTTAAAGAGCTACTTGCTTCATATTTCATATGGCTCTTATTTGTTCTTTAGATTAGGATTTTTGCTGTAGTCCATGCCTGTACTCTTAACACTTAGCCTCTTAAATTAGTTCCATCTGCATGTCCTGTGATCTCAACCTGAAGTGTTTATGTTTACTATTTAAGTCAATCATAACCTCGTCAGTATAGAACACTGGTCAGAGCATGGCTCTGAAGCTTCTACCCCGGTGATTTTACCCAATCTACTAGTCTTGCTGTGCTCCCTTTTCTTTATTTTAGGGTAGAAATTATAAAATAATTTATCCTAGTATTATAAGGAATACATGATTTGATATTTAATTTTACACATGGCATTTCTTTGTAGGAATCAGTTGTTTTAGCTCTAAAACAGTTATGTGGTGTGTGTTTAATATGGTTGTAAAGTTACAAAATTTTTCGTACTATCTTCCTAATGCTTCCCTATTTTTGTAAAGACTATCTTTTTCTCAATGTCTTCCTCTAATTTATTCACTTTTTTTTAGCTTTTTCCAAACTCATATTTAGCATTACCATTTCTATACTTAGAAATGGTGGTTGTTTTTTTTTTTTTCCCTGCTCCTACCAAGATTTATAAAAACAGTTCACATAAAAATTTAGGTAGGTAGGTAGATTTTCATAGTTTGGATTTTTAAACTTTTTTAACCAGCAAAGAATATAGTATAGGAGGTTAAACTGCTGCCTTCAATGCAAGCATCCCATATGGGCACCAGTTCAAGTCTCAACTGTTCCACTTCTAATCCAGCTCCCTGCTAATATGCCTGGGAAGTGGAAGACAGCTCAAATGTGTGTGCCCCTACCACCTATGTGGGAGACCTGGCTGAAGCACTTGGCTCCTGGTTTCAGCTTGGTCCATCTCCAATTGCTGCGGCCAACTGGGGAGTGAACCAGTGGATGAAAGATCTCTGTGTGTGTGTGTATGT